GGCTGCTCCTGGCCGCTGCCGCGGAGCTCGGCGGGAGGGTTTGCTGCCAGAGAGTCCCGAAGGATCTTATTTTGGGTATCCTATAGGTGGGACATACTAATCTGAAATCCTTTATCGTCTAAAAAATGGGGTTGGCTTGTTTTTAAAACCGTGTTTCGGTACGTTGCGTCAGCTTTCGCCCAGTCGTGTTTACAAGCCTGTTCAGGCTGTGTTTAATCCTGGCGTAAGCAGGAGTTAAAATAAGCACCGTAGAAAATGTTTGTGCTCTTAAGATTGGTTTGTGCTCCAGCTTTCTTTCTACAGGAAGGAAGGAAGGAAGGAAACGTTATTTCTTAATTATTTACTTCCTCAGAATGTTTCATTCTCAATCACATGACTCAATTTTGGTGTTTTTTAGAATATTCCTGAAGAAAGCTTGTATGTGAAGTGTAACGGACGACTGGCTAATGGTGACGATGTACTGCAGAATGGGGCTGTTTATAGTCTGGAACCAAGACTTTGTGGTGGAAAAGGAGGTTTGTTGCTTAACTGCTTCTTAGTGATTAGATTCTCAAGTTAAAAAACTTCTGTTATACCTTAGTGTCTATACCAACAGCAGCAGTGTGATGTATAAAGTCTGTGAGCTGAAACCAAGGTCTCCCTGTAAAGCTGGGAGTTGTCTAGAGAAGCTACAGTTCAGCTATAAACTCTGCTTGCATAGCTCTCTGCACCAGTGCTTGACTTAGCTCTACTAGTAGAAAACTGTAACATGCATCAAAGTGACTTAGAAGTTGAAATCGTGTTTCTGCTACAAAAAGTGGAGGATCCCCTCTCCTCCTGTCAGCAGGCAGAAGGAGGGGGCCTAAGGGGCAGGGGGAAATAGAGACAGGTCCCTCCTCAGAGATGCAAACAAAACACTTCCTGTCCCCCCTCACCTTCCCCTCTTCCTCATCTGTTGTCCATCAGCTTCAGTTATCCTGGGAAAATAGAGCATATGTGTTCTGTGTGTTACTGATATGCCCTTGGAGTCAGTTTAAAATTATTTTTAATTATTTTGTCTGGTCTCTGAAGTGTTCCTTTTATTTTGACTTTTTAACTTAAAAGTGTGATAAAAGCAGGCAAATACACAGGTCAGAACTGTTAAGACTTACTGTAGGATCTCAAGGGAATACAGATCATGCAGGTTTAGAAGAGCATGTTATTGTCAGACCTAATTCAGGAGTTGTGACGTTAGTGAATACATTGCTGTTGATTTTTGGGAGCTTACCTGGCTAGGTGTTGGGTCTAAGTCTGGATTCTTCAGAATGTAAAACTCAATAACAAGTTTCATGTGCTACAGAAATTTCCCCCACCACTGGCAGAAATCGGTTTTGCTTGCTGAACCCAAATTGATTTTGCTGGCTGAACACAATACCTCTTCTGCCTCATGATACAGTAGGTTATCTGGATTGGTTACTGTTTGTAACAGTCTTTAAAGGTACTTTTGGGCAACTAAAAAGCACAGATACGTTTAGCTTCTAGTTAAAAAATGGTGCTTGTCACTTTCAAATTGCTTGAAGGATTATATTAACATTAACCCATGTTGTGTTTATTTGAGGTAGTTAAACAAGTCCCTTTCTCCAGCTGGAGACAACATAAAGTGGGGCTGAATGCAAGAAATCCTTGTCTATGAGCAATGAGTGGCTGAGGAGCATTTTAGAACTCTCTTTTGGAGGCCTCTCCAACATAATATTGTACATAATGATCATCTTGATATAGCCATTAGGGCTGTCTCCTAAAAAAGTAATTTTATTTTTCATTAGATTTTAAAAGGACATATAAGACTGATGCAGGCTAACGGGTCTTAAGTGGAAGGTACATCCTGGCTAAATTAGAAAGGACCCAACATGTTATCTTGACATGAAAAAGGTTTCAAGCCATTTTGCTGGGAGAATCCAGAAATAGGCTTTCATGCTGTGCAGGTTCTAGTAAACCTGAAGTGCATCTGGTGTGGTGTCAGGTGCACAAAACCAAGATGAGTGGGTAAATGCTGTAAACCTTTTTTTTTTTAGTGTTTCAGCATTTCACCCAATAGCAATTCTCCAATATATTGCAGCTTCAGACTTACCTTTTATTTCAGTTTTTTTGAAGGAAAGTGTGGAAGTCACTGTGTTCTTTTTCCATAGTTAATTATTTTGTTGTGTACTAGCTCATCTCCATTTGTTTCTGTTTTGCTAATTCTTGATTACTTTTTTCTCAGGGTTTGGATCTATGCTGCGAGCGCTTGGTGCTCAGATTGAAAAGACAACAAATAGAGAGGCTTGCCGAGATCTCAGTGGAAGGAGACTTAGAGATGTCAATCACGAGAAAGCGTAAGGCATTTTCTTAGAAGCTAGAATTATAAAATAAACCAGTCATGTAGTTAACAAAAGAGTTCAAAGGACAGGCTATTGTAGCAATGAAATTTTATTTTGAATGCTACAAAAAGCAAAAGTGAACTTGTAAACACAAATTGAGTGGAAGCCAACAGGGTTCTTCTGACTATAATTACTGCAAAATAGAGGTAATTGGACTGCAACCTGATTCTGAGAGACTGTTCTGCATGTCTTAGATTTCTAATCTGGAATTCTCACAGTTCATCTCTCTGAAGCTGCAAGACCATGATATTGGTGACATTACAGCTGTTTCTGGCTTCCAAAATAAACTTTACTCTTTTCTCTGTAGCAGAATCTCTATATGTTCCTTCAGTAAATCCCCTGGGTATTGATTGTTGTCTTTTTCCATTGTCTGCTATCCTAGCAGGTGGTAGAAGTATTTAGTAAATATTCAAAACAACAAAGTGATATGACACTTAAGTGTTGGAAATGCTCTCATTTTCATGGTTCTGTCACCTGCAGGATGGCTGAATGGGTGAAACAGCAGGCGGAACGGGAAGCAGAAAAGGAGCAAAGGCGCTTGGAAAGGCTGCAGCGGAAGCTTGCAGAGCCAAAGCACTTTTTCACAAATCCAGACTACCAGCAGCAGTGTCATGAAATGGCTGAGCGACTAGAAGATTCAGTCCTTAAAGGTACTGGAAGTTTAATCTCACTTTCTCTCCTCAAAAAATAAAGCAAACTAGAAGACCCTATAACGTCAGTCTTGTATGAAAATTAAAAAAATTAAATAAGTTGCGAGCAATAACTCTTTCAATTCAAAGAAATTAAAATTCCATCAAAATGTGTTGGAATTAATTTTTCCTTTTTGGCTACTGCTCGGCTTAAATTGCATGGAACAGTGTAACACGGAGCCAAGCAATGCTTGATCTTGCTGTGCTACAGTGTTATAATAAAAGCAAAATTCTCTGAAAGTAGTGTTGCTAGTTCAGCTATAAGAGTTATATAATAATTTTCAGTGAAATTATAATGTATCAACAGGTCTTACTAGGAATGGAATCCAACTACAGAATGCCTTGTTTCACTTACCATTCTTTTTAGTTATCTTATGTATCCAAGATTGTTCCCTTGCTGGCAGCTTGACAGCAGAACTTGAGGCTGAGAGATTTAGAACCCAAGCCTGTTCAATTCAGGAATCCAACGTTAAGATTGACTCTGTGCCTTAGTAGAGCAGTGTAAGAAACCTTTTGTTGCTTCTGAGTTTATTTTGAAGCTTTGAGTCTACATAAATGAACAAATAGTGATTATTTTCAGCTGGTGTTTCAAATTGCATCTGAAATTAAAAGATTGGTACCATTTACATTTGTGAACTGTGTACAGCTGAAATAGATCTCTAACTTTGTTTTGAAGGGTTGCAGGCCTCTTCAAGCAGAACAGTGTCACCAGGAAGCAGCGGTAGTCGGAAGCGTCCCGGTGAATCTGTAAAAAATGGAACAAAATCCCAAAAAAGAAAATGTTTTTGGTAAGTATTATGACTCCTTATACTTAATATTCAAGTATTAAACCTTGAACAGGATGAAAGGTTAGGTACATAAAAGTAAGCAAGAACTTACCAAAGGTGTAGATTTAAATAGTAAAATTAAATGGAACTTATTCATTCAGTTGGAGAACTGAAAGTAAATGTTGCTGCATTCATATAAATCTGTCCCAGCTGAGCAGTCAAACTTTGTTTGCAAAAATACACACCTTTTTTCCCCCTGTGTCAAACCAGGACACCCTACTAATATGGTTATATCCTATATAACTCTCATTGTCTTTTATTAATAAACTAAATTTACTATGAACTAAAGAAGGATATTTTTTCCCTTGCATTTTTCTCCTAATGTGACATGAAGTATAAATATTAATTATTCCAGTGATGTTTGGAATAGTAATAGCACATTTTTCTATAATGGGAATGCTGTAAAGAGATACCTGTTTGTGGGGATATTTGGTCCTGTTCAGTCATAAGCAGCTTCCCTTTACTGAACCAGCCTAACTAGCTGCTAGACTAGTTCACTGCAGCTCTCTGAAATTAATTTTGGAATGAAAGTGACAGTGAAAATAATTTTTTGAAAAAAGTGAAAATAAGTTGACATTAATCTGTAGTGTACTGCTTGTGCCAGGCTGGGGTTGGAAGGATTGGATGATCAAGACAGTTCGGATGGTGAGGATGACAGCGAAGGTGATTCCCCTTATGCATCTGATGAAAGTTGTCCATCAGGCAGCAGATACAATGACAATGCTGGAAACTCGAATGAATGTTCAAACAGCTCTGTAGATATTCCAACTACCAATGCTACTGAGAAACCACTGGAACAACCAGAAGGTAGTGGAAGAAATCTGCAAGGAGAGACACACACAAGTGGGCAAACTGAAATTCCAGTTGAAGAAAACAGTAAAATGACATTGCCCTTGAAGGAAGAGGCCCAAGAAGAGAAAGAAGTAACCCAAGCTGTAGAAGGAGAGGAGCAAGAAAATGTTTCCTCTAAGACACAGGGGACGAACCAGTTACAGTGCACAGTAAGTATGAAGCAGTACAAAATGTGATATATCTTTTTCTTCAGCTGCTTTTACTCAGTCACTTTTCCCTTTGTGGATTGCAGGAAAGGAGAAGGTACTCGTATGCTATGACTTCAATGCATTAGATAAACCTGCTTGAAGAAGGGGAATATATACCCCTTATATATGTATATATATATGTATATGTATATGATTTAGATATACCTGCTTCCTCAGGGAAGAAGACCAGACAGGTAGAATAGAAAGATTTGGCTGGGGCTTAGGAAGAAAAGAGTTTATGGACTCGAAGACCTCTCATGAGGAATACAGAGGTGTATTAAGGCAATGCAGTGAGAAAATTAGGAAGGCCAAAGCCCAGCTTGAACTCAACTTGACTACTGCTGTCAAAGACAATAAAAAATCTTTCTATAAGTACATTAATACCTAAAGGAGGACTAGGGAGAATCTCCATCCTTTACTGGCTGCAGGGGGAAACATAGTGACAAAGGACGAGGAAAAGGCTGAGGTACTAAATGCCTTCTTAGCCTCAGTCTTTAGAAGTCAAACAGTTTGTTTCCTAGACACCCAGACCCCTGAGCTGGAAAACAGGGAGGTGGGGCAGAATGAGACCTTTATAATCCAAGGGGAAATGGTCAGTCTATGGGGCCAGATGGGTTGCACCCAAGAGTACGGAAGGAGTTGGTGGATGCACTTGCCAAGACTCTTTCCATAATTTACCAGCAGTCCTGGCTGGTAAGTTATGTCTCAGTGGACTGGAGGGTAGCAAATGTGTTACCCATCCACAAGAAAGGCCAGAAGGAGGATCCAGGGAACTACAGACATGTGAGTCTGACCTTGGTGCTAGGGAAGGTCATGGAGCAGATCATCCTGAGTGCCATTATGCACCACATACAGAACAATCAGGTGATCAGGTCCACTCAGCACGGGTTTATGAAAGGAAGGTCCTGCTTGGTGAACCTGACCTCTTTCTATGACAAGATGATCCACCTGGTCGATGAGGGAAAGGCTGAGGATGTTGTCTACCTGGACTTCTGTAAAGCCTTTGACACTGTTTCCCACTGCATTCTGATGAAAAAACCCCATATGCTCTGCTGGGTAAAATGCTGGATGGACACCTGGGCCCAGAGAGTGATGGTGAATGAAGTTAAACCCAGCTGGTGGCCAGTCACAAGTGGGGTTCTTCAGGGCTTAGTCTATGGGGCCAGATGGGTTGCACCCAAGAGTACGGAAGGAGTTGGTGGATGCACTTGCCAAGACTCTTTCCATAATTTACCAGCAGTCCTGGCTGGTAAGTTATGTCTCAGTGGACTGGAGGGTAGCAAATGTGTTACCCATCCACAAGAAAGGCCAGAAGGAGGATCCAGGGAACTATAGACCTGTCAGTCTGAACTTGGTGCCATGGAAGGTCTGTACTGTTGCCATACCATTACCTCCGCTGGCATTCTGGATTGGTGTCACAGCCCTTGCAGCCATATCAGGAGCAGGTCTGACCCTGAGGTTCTTTCTGTGGTGATTGACAGGAGGATGCCTGAGTTTCTTTTGCTGAAGAGGCTTTGAATCAGTCTTCCAGCCAAGAATGTAGCTTTTCCCACTGAATTGATGAAAGCCCATCTAATACTTGGCAGTAAAAGCTGCCAGAACTTAATGCTTCATTGCTCCTTGCTTATTTTTACTATTAAAAAATGTTAGGGGTAATGAATCTAGGCTTATTCTAGTAATAAAACAAAATGTGGCTTCTTCTGGGCTAGGGATGTGCTTGGATTTTCTGCCTTATTTAAGCTTGAGCAGGAAGCATATCATCAGCTGCCAGTGTCTAAATTCTAGTAAGCAAAAGCTTAATACTGTTAAGTTCAAAAAAGACCAAGGGTGTAATCTGATAAATTAAAACATTGTCATCTACTGTTCTGTTAGAGCTGGCAAATTTTAAACAGGATGTTTATCATTATTCACTGTTTACCTTTAGCTCAGTATTTGCAAGCCTGTCTATTCCTAGAACAGGAAACTCCACCAGTGCTATGGCAGATTGTTTTTGCAGGTAGAAATATTTTTAAAATAGTCCTTGGTTTATTTATTATTTTTTAAAATAGGATAGGAGTAATGAGGCAATCAGTCTTTTTTTGTATGCTTAGCAGGACAAAAGTTTTAATACTTCTAGGTTTACTTGTTTTTGCTGAGTTCAAAACAGAGCAGTTTCATTCCCACTGCTGGTATTACTTTCTCTGAGCTCCCTTTGATAACTCCAGCATGATACATACGAAAGACTAATGTGTGCTTTTAAGTATTGAACAAAAGGGACTTAAATTTTTGTGTCTTTTTTAGTGTTTTAGTGTGATTAGTATGTTAGTAAAGTTCAGCACTTGAGTTAGCCTATTTTTGCCGTGTTCTTTTGTGGACAAGGCCCTGGGCTTGGGTTAGACCATCTATAGAGGTTTCTCATTGATTATTCTGCAGATAGACTAATTTCCTTTTAAGATGAAATTTTAATCCATTTTGTGTGGCAGAATGACATCTGAACTTCCAAACTTACTCTTTTGTTAGAAGAGTATGTTTTCGTATCTTTGTGTATTTGCAGTGTAACTGAATTAGAAATAACTTCTTTCTCCTTCCTGCTACTGCTGGGGGTATATTGGTTATATCCTACATTGGGCTAGAAAGGGGCTGTGAGCTTTACCATGCCTCTGGCAGCCAAGGTTAAGCTACTGAAGTGCTAGGTGTGATGGTGGGCTGTTTTTAAAAAAGTCTTGGGAATATTTAACTTCCCTGGGGATGAAAACAGTGTCATCTAAAGGATTAAATACTGCCACTTTTTTATTTTACTTCTTTGGTATTCCTGTATTGCAAATAGAAAGTGTTAATTTTATTGGAATAATTTTAAAAGTTCAGTGGGGTTTGTGTAATTTAAAATCACCAGTGCTTCTGTCTGGGAGGCTATATACATTGCAAGCCTAAGCACAGCTGCTGCTTGTCTGAGAGTGAGCCTTGAACTAGCGAGCAGAAGCACTGCCAGGAGTAGAATTGTAGCAGCATAGCTGCACACCGAGTACAAAGCTCACTTGAGCATTCACCCTGCCCTTGGCTATATTATCTTGCTAAGATGTGCTTGGTTTACAATTAGGCTCCTAGCTAGCTTCAGTGTGCTTGTACATGATGTGGTAATACATTGCCTGGGTAGCATAAATACAGCTAATAATGAGAATATTGAACATAAAGCATATTGAGACATTCTTCGACTTCAGTAAGTAATGAGGAGCTTGAGATAATCCTAATTGAAAGTCTTCCATAACATGAAGCATTCTGTCTATACTTGTTGCTCCCCACCCAGTCAGGAAATAAATCATGATAATCTGATGGGATGTTTTTCTCTTTGCAGGCAGTGGAACCTGTAGACCTCCTGGTGTTCAACTCTGCTGCTGAACTGGAAGTCCTGGGTTTGGATAAACTGAAGATGGAATTGATGTCTCTAGGACTGAAATGTGGAGGCACTTTAAAGGAAAGAGCAACAAGGCTTTTTTCTGTGAGAGGTCTGTCTAGAGACCAGATAGATCCTGCCTTGTTTGCAAAGCCATCTAAGGGGAAAAGAAAGTGATTTTAAAAAAATTGTGTCCATATGGTTTTCAATTTTTCTTACACTGTTCTCATTCCATACTGCCACGTGCGATTATTTGTCATCCCTGGGTAGTTTTTTTTTCTTAATTAAGTTCAATTAATGTAACACAGAGAGAATTGCTAGGTAGTGATTAGCTTTGCAATCAATACATTCACTATAACTGTCTTTTGGTAAGCTTTACAAATGGTTGTACCGAGTCTTAATGTGACAGGTAGAATAAACTCTTTGTGTATGGAGATAAATAACCTGAATGTTTTCTGGAAAACAGTTGCATTATGTCATCATCACCTATTTTAAGAAAAAGAACAATCCTTTCTTAGCTTTGTATTGGATCTCCTTTGGTGTGTTTTCCAGTTAGTGCAGTTACAGCTGTCAAGTGGGAAACACAACCTGTGACCCAGGCTTAAAAGCTGAAGTTTCGTTAAATAAAGAACATTTTTTATATGGATGAGGTTGTTATAAATAAATACGCTGTTTTCTGCATTTCTGTGGGGGTGTCAGGTATCAGTATGATAGAAGTAATTGATGCATGTAAGTATTTATTTTAGAAGAAATGAATAAGGGTATTATCTTATTTGGCTGTCAAAGTATCTGAGTGAGGGAAATGAGACACTCACACACTTGAGGAGTCAAAAGGAAAGAATGAAGTACACTTGCCGGCTGCTGAAGGTCAGTAAGATGCAGAGTGATCAACTGAATGGGAAATTTACCATGTTTGGTTAATGCTTTTCCTACATTAAGACAATAGAATAGTCTCCCAGGGAGTGGTGTTACCTGCCGGGCGATGCTTCGTCCCCGAGCAGCGTCTGACAGTCTGGGCGCCGGGTCTGCCCTGCCCGTGTCCCGCCGTCGGCCCCGGCCGGCAGGGGTTGCTGCGGGGCTGCGCTGCCGCGCCGCGCTGCGGGAGGAAGCGCGTCCTGCCTCCCATTCCTTCCGGCAGCGTCCGGGGGCAGTTCTGCAGCGCTGGTGGGGCTGTTTGGCGGCCTTCTGAGCAGAAATCCCGGCACTTGAGGTTAGAGCACACTTACACTGTTCTCTGCCTACATGTGTTTCCGAAGTAATGAACCTGACTTTGTGCAGTTATATCTGGTTTATGTGATGAACAGTAATGTATCTGCAGCAAGTGATCTGGTGAGTAGATGTTTGGTAGCAGTAACACACTTGACGTGTCTGACATTTTAATCTATAAAGGGAGTCTTGGGAAAATTTCAGGATAAAGGAGAGAGACATTAAGACCCTGCAAATCACATCTCATGGGGGTTGTAACAGGACAAGTGGATTCTGGATGGAAAGGAAATTGTTTTGTTTACTGAGTGTTTCATTAGGAAACTGAAATGGAGGGTACCTGGGAGGTCACTTCAATGTAATGAAGTTTTGCTGGTGCACATGTGGCGGCAGAGAATGTTACAGGCTGGCCCACTTGAATGGTGAGCCTTCAGTGTGATTTTGTCCAGCTCATAAATTTGCTCATTGAGGCAGGAGAGCCTTCAGCTATATGAGTACATTCAAGTTCCTCTCTAGTATGGAAAGGATAACATGAGTCAAAAGTGAACGGGCAGATAAATGATGTATTTTGGCAACTACTCTTAACTATTTCCCTTTACTTCAGTTGCACTCTTGCTTCAGTTGCACTGAAGCAGCTGTTTCCAAGTCTACCCCATGGGTCACTTGCCTTCTTTTGTTGTTGGGGGTTCCTTGCTAAACCAGATGAGTTCTCTGATGGGGCATGTGATGTGGCTGTAACAAGTTTGTGCCACCACATCTGAAGTAGCATTACATATGGTAAGGAATAAAACACAGGAGACTGAAGAGCAACTGGAATATTTTAGACCAGTAGTAGCACCAAACACTTTATTGATCAACTGTGACTTCAACAGTGTCAGAATAAACAACCTACATATGTGTTAGAGGACAACAGCTTATGTGTGCTTTGAACCAGCTCCACACCTTGGCACATTTATTTGGGAATTATTTGGCTTCTGCTGCACTAAACAGAACAAGTACTTGCTCTGGTATATGCTCCACAGAAAGGGTTAGACTAGAGCAATACTATGTCTGGAGAGCTGTGTGGACACTCACTTAGCAAGGCTAGACTTTGACATGGCAATAGGGTGTCCTTCAGAAAATGGCTGGATAACAAACAGGTACAATCCTTCTGTAGAACAGAAGTGCTTGAAGCAGTGCTTGAAGCTTTCTAAGAATTTAGGCAAGAAAATAAGTCAATAAATACCAGCAAAAAAATATATATACATACAAACCAAAACCATTCCAATATAGCATAGGCCATTTTCATTGCACAGAATGGCCTCAGAATAGTGGTGATTATTCTAGACCAGGGCCAAGAGGGTAATGCAGAGTTTGCAGTATCTTGTCTATGTCTTTCTTTTTTCAAGGATTAGTGCAGCTCTGAATTACAAGTGTTTCTTGTTGTAAACACACCAAAACTGTGAATAGCATTCCAGAGAAAAAAGTTCATGCTCCCACGCAAACACTTCCCCAACAAGCAAGTGGTGTGACTTAACAGAATTCTTCTGAAGTGTCATTTTGAATGCATTTATTTTAAACATTTATATCCAGAGCACTGTCTCATGTTTCACTTGCATTTCAGATTAACTGACTGAAAAAAAAACTGGCACAAACTGAAGGAGGGCTTTTTCTAACCTCGTACAGATCCATCTATACCCTGGAAAGAAACATGAGTACATATAATACAAAAATAGCAGGGAACAGGGCAGGTCATTACTGAGGCAAAATATCCAGAGTTGAAAAGAAATTGCTTCTGGTTGGCAAGCTCAGAGGTGAAGCAAACCTTCCTTCTTTGCTTTCTAACAAGCCTTTGGTCTACTGATTGCTCAGTGCATCAGTGCCAAACAGAACACTCTGGAACATCCAGCATCACCAAACAAGAACATTCAAAAGTAGACCTGAAATTTATTTTTTTTTTCCTGACTGTCTTCTGTGACATAAAGGACCAGCAACTTGCTGCTGTTATCTGAAAATTGCTATTTTCATCCCAGCCCAGAAGAAAAAACTTTAGAGAAATCAAATATCACAAAACCCTACCTGGCTTGGCTTAACAGTGGTTTGATTTCCACTAACCATTTCTATCCTGGGACCTTCCAGCAGTGTAAGAGGTATTGAGGAGTTCATATTCACAAGCACACTGTAAGACTAGGATTGATTACATTTTCTAACCTGGGCTACAGAGAAATAACTTGTGGAAGTTTAGAAGGATCATCACCAGTAGGCACAGCAACAGCTTTCCCATTTCCATCACCTTTGCCTCTGCAACATGAATAAATAAATGAATTACTAAAAACCACTGCAGTGTTTTGACTTAAACACCACTTTGCCAGAATTTCTTCCTTTGGTTTTCCAAGTCTGACAGCATCTGGGCTTGCTACTGTAGGTGGCACTGAGGTGTTGGTGGAGGATGTGTCCAGTTCCAGCAGCACTGATGAATACCCTGGCCCTTGGAACAAAATCTCTGACCAGAGGCCCTGCCTTTGCCCCATGGTGCACAGGCATACCATGATGGGGCAGAGTGGGAGTATGAGGTCACTTATGTCATTCTGCCTATTCCAGAAACAAAGTTAATACTTTCGATCCACCTGAAATTTATTCTTAGCTGAGATTTTGCTTTCTGAAGAATGCTGACATTTTAAAGATTGGTTTGTAGTGATGTCTTTTCTCAGGAAGGTGCTATTTTTAAATCTTGAAGATTCCTCCAAAACATTTAGCTGCAGATGTTAAAGACTGCACCCTGGTTAGTTAACACAGCCACCCCACAGCAGGCTTTGCTTTCAGTTATAGCTGAGCAATTAGGGTGGCTTTGGATATTAACATACCTAATGACACCTGAAGGTGGAGAAGTGACAACTGCTCTGACTTCCTCCCAGTGTCCAGGAGGGGCTGGGTAGGCACTGCTGCCTTCCAGCACTCCTGGAAGCTGGGCAAGGGCTGGGTAGTTCCAGGCTGGTTAGTCTGGATTTAGACCCACCAGCTGGTGCTGCTTGGAAAACATCTCAGGGACTTGAATTCATGTGCTGTGTGTCCTGCTTCCTGCATTCATGTCTCTAACCAGGCTCAGTGAATGAGGAATTTTCACAAAACTTGGAGCACAAGAAGCAAGAAGTTCTTGAAAGCCCTACCTGGGCTGTATGCGAAGAGCAGTGTTTATAAGGAGCCAGGCAGTTTGTGAAACATGTCTGTGAAAACAGAGTATCTGGTGGTTATAGACGGCTCCTTGCGGCCTGTGTAATATTGTATCCAGCATATGGTAACTAGCTGAGACCTGCTAGTGACAGAGTTACTGACCACTGAGCTGGAAGGTGGCAGTCATCTGAGCAGTCGTGATTATGAACTGATTGCATTCATCTCTGGCAAACAGAAGACAAAACATAAAGAGGGATGCAGGTACCTGGACTTTCAAAGGATCAGATTTATCATCACTGAGAAAATCAAGAGGGAAAAATGTAAACAGGAAAACACAAATAAACACTAGGGGTACCTTTAAAAGAAAACTACTAAATAGCTTTTTTTCCCCTTAAAAACAAACAAACAAAAACAACAACAACAAAACAAAACACAAACGAGCAAAAAAGCAGTGCCCTGATTCATCATTTGCCAAAAAAGATACTGAGAGCTGTGGCCTGATTACATGACTTTCCAGTGCTCAGTATCTTCAGATAACATTTCCTGCCATGGTTAAAAACTGTTTCTGGGCTGTTTGGTAGGCTGGTTCAGCTGTGGGGAACCCCAGCACCCGCACAGCTCTGGAGTGCACTTGTCCCCCTGCAGTGTAGGCAAGAAGGCAGCAGTTGTGAACAGCTTTTTATTGTTTTATTCTGAAATGTGCTGACACTGTGCAGGCTGCTCTCCTGCACCTGCTCCAGGAACAGACAGGAGTTCAGGTCGTGGCTGCAAATCTAGCACTATGCATGGGAGCTATTTCACATTAAATTAATAACAAAAACTAGGAGATGTTGACACTGTGAAGAGACTCCTCTAAAAATACCAAAGTACTGCAGGATCTCTGCCTGCCCCCTTCTGTTTGCCCCGGGTTCCCCTTTCCCAGGCTCCAGCTGTTCCCAGCCAAAGCTGGAGCAGATCCCCTGATTATCATCTTTGCTGGGATGTGGATTTCACTCACACTGGCAATTAGAAGGCTGCTCTGGAGAAAAAATAAGGTCTCACCAGCAGGGTAGGGCTGCAACTTCTCATAGATTTTGAAAAAATAAAACATGGAAGAGCAGCTTTGGTTCAAGTGAAGCCATGAAAGAATCAGGACATGTAACTCAGTTGTCAGGGGCATTTAATATAGCTTGAAACTTTTATTATCTCTCCTGAAATGTCACGATAAGGGAGAGAGAAAGTGCTGCTGTCCTGCCCAAGCCTTTCTCTTATGAATAAAAGTTTTCACAAGGCCAGTAGATTCGCCCATGTCCATCTCCATTAAATATCGCAGGACCTCACAGACAGTCTTGTGAGCAGGACCAAAAAGGCAGGTCAAAGCTCAAGCTTGTGTTGATGTACACGGCAGTGCCTTTAAGTGCACCCTCTCCGGAGGGCAGTGTGCCATGTGGGAGGGCTGCAGCCCCCGCTGCTGCAGCCCCTTGCAAGTGGGTACCTGGGGGTCCCGCAGGACCTGGGCCCGAAGACCAGGGTGGCCCTAGGCAGGCCTGGGGGGATGGAGGGGGGACGGGGGCTCCGTGGCCCCCCTGGCTGGCTCCCCACGGCTCACACCAGCGCTGTGCCGTCCGTGACGCAGCCGCACTTCTCCACGATCATGTTGGGGAACTCGGCCGCTTCGATCTCGGTGCGGTTGCCCCTCTTCACCAGGTAGATGACGGGCAGAGGGGAGGTCTCTGTCCCGGCGCAGGTGCGCTGCCCGGGGCCGAAGCGCCAGGGCAGGGACCGCGGGCAGCCCCCCCGGCACCGGAACGCCTGGTACCCCGCCGGCTCCAGGATCCAGTGCTGCGCCCAGGACAGCTCGCGGAAGCTGATGTAGTGTTTCTGCCGGCAGCAGGAGGACTTCCCCGGCACCGCCTCCTCCGTGCAGTCCCTGCGAGCCAAGGAAGAAGCAAGAGCTGCTGCTGTAACTGCAAACTGGGAAGGTGAGAGGAATAATCCCCCCTGTTAATAGCACAGGCGCGGCCTGACACGTGAAACTTGAGCCATGTCTGTGTTTCATTTTAATATTCAGGCAACAAATACAGGAAGAGGAGTGTTGTGATTCAGGAGCAATGTTCTATCTCCTCCATGCACAGCAGTTTACTTGGGAGGGCACGAGCTGCATGCCCTGGCTTGGCACAATAACAACAATTGTTGGCAGTGCAATAATTCAAGGGCAAAGTTACAGTGGAGATAGTACAGGTTTAGGTTTCATACATACCCATATTTTTCCAAGTCGAGGGTGTAAAGCACCAGTTCAGGTTTGCCTAGGGCTTTATCCTTAGGGTCCTGAGAGGTGAAGCGCACAGCTTTGGCCATTTCCAGGGCATGGCTGCCTACCCTTTCTCCTTCGATCCAGACCTCCAGGAACATTGGCTCCCGCCTCCTGCTCCGCAGCCAGTAATGCACGGCCTGAGTCACATCGAAGTTTTTCCAGCCTGACTCGCGGATGGGAACCAGCCTGCATGACAAGGGCTTGGCATTAGAAAGGAAAGCCCATCAGATAAAACCTGAGCTCACAGAGCTGGTTATTGCAGCAGAATATTTTGCTTCCTGTAGATTGTCGTGTGCTCATTACATGTCTCGTGTTCTCATTACACGAGAATTTTTGCTGAGTGCTCTGGGCAAGCACTCATAGCAAATAACACCTCAAAAAGAAGCACGAAAATCTAGCAGACACTGGAAGGCTAAATAAAACCCTTTGTGCATGGTCACATCAAGGGATTCATCCATGCTCATGCAGAAATATGGTGGTGGAGGATTGTACACAGTCTCAGTGATCGTGATGACAGCCTGATAAACACCACTACTGTCACCTGCTCCTGTCCTAGCTGCATTAGAGCTATAAAGTTTCTACCCGCCTAGAAAATTGTTTTGATGTCTAATTCTGCCTTCAAGAGTTGTAAAACTTCCCCAGAGCTCAAGGCTACAGAATCAGATGCTTTTTGCATAGTTTACTTATTTAAAACAGCTAACGTAATGGCCAATGGCCAAATAACATCAGCAGCCAGAACCTATGTGAGTTTGAGCATGAGAGAGAATCAAACCAGGTGGACGTTTCTAGAGGGTAAGATCTAGCAGTACATGGCTTTGTTTGACACAGAAATAGATTATTTCAACAAATCATTGTATATTGCATTCTTAACCTGGTATCTGCTCTAACAAATTCATTCTGGGTTTAGAATCTATACAGCGTGATTATACTGATGTAACCTCATCAGATGGACCAGAGGCACAAACGCAAGACACCCAGAGGAACCATACCCCTTAGCTAGAGTTCTGCCTTCAGAAGAGGTCCCTTTTTTACCTGGAGTCTATCAGGGAGGTCCTGTTGGTACCATCCTGCTGCTGGTGCACCCAGTACACGCTGACTCTCGCATTGGATACAGGCCTGTGAGGCTGCCTGGCAGGCAGGTTTGCTCTGTCCAGAGGCTTTTTGAAAAGTTTCAGTTCAGCCATTGTCACTTCACTGTTTTTAGGTATTCTGCCCTCCATGTCAAAGATCAGGTTCTGGCGCATGATGGTGTCAGAGTAGAGGACTTCTGCCATGCCTGTGCATGTTGGGAACAAGAAAATACAGCCTGTCTCTGCCATCCTGGTGAGCAAAGTCCCCCCACCCCCATCCACAATTATAATCACAACATACTCCTTCCAGGCTCCCAAGATGAGCCCTTGTGGCAGACAGTCCCTAAACACACCTTTTACTAATGCACACTTGAATCAATGTCTTGCAAATGCCCTTATTCTCCCTCTCTGTCTCTTCAACCTGGAGGCAATGGAAAAAAACTCCAATGTAAGTTGCCCACAAGCTGAGCAAACACAGAAAAGTACCCATCTCTCTGTGCTGGTACCTCAAAGCAGGAAAACACCACTTGCAAGAAAAGGGTGTTTCATTTGCTGCCCAGGGTGTCTTTTGAAATCTTTTGAAAGTGAAACAAGCCCTAAGTTGATTTCCTTCTTGGTAATTTTTCCATAGTGGAAAAAAACAAACAAACCCACTTCTACAGACATTTATTTTATACATAATTTTTCCACCTGCCCAAAATGTTGCCTGGGTAGCAAGGCTTTTCTCTTCTATCAAGCTTCAGCAGCAGCCTGCCCTTTGAAAGGGCTGTAGGATCCCCTCTCCAGGTGCAAGGACTTACTAGTGCATATTAATCTTTAAGATGATGTTACATGCACTTCTTCTACCCCACTCAGTTTGGAGGCAGATCAGAACTTCATTAGCCCCATGGGTTTGCTTCTGCCCATCCTGTGGGAGCCTGGCAGATTCCCCTGGTAGTGGCACAGCCCTTGTGAGCTCCCGACAGTGACAGCAGAAATGTTACCTGCGTTGCCAGGGATCCCCCTGAGGATGCTGGCCAGGCTCGGCAAAGCTTGGCGCCTCACCCTCTGGCGCTTCAGCATGGAGAAGTATTTGTTCTTTACATGGGCTGGGATAACCAGATCCTCCATGTCTCTCTTATGAAGTTTTGGGACCTCAGAGAGCCCCAGCTGCTTCAGCAACACCTCCTTGAGCCCTTCCTGGGTAAATGCTCGGACAGTGAGGACCAGGCAGAGCACGCAGAGCATTCGGGCGAACCTCATGTCCATCCTCCTGTGTTGGCAAAGCAGAGATGAAGGAGGGATCTCCCTGGGGCTGCTCTCAACAGAGGTGCAGTAGCAGGTCCTGTGTTGGCAAAGCAGAGATGAAGGAGGGATCTCCCTGGGGCTGCTCTCAACAGAGGTGCAGTAGCAGGCTGGCTGCATGGGACAGAGGTCCCTTGCGATGGGGTTTTATAGCCAGCCTTGTCCCACTGGCCCAACAAATTCCACAAGTGGGGATGAAGCAGAGGACTTGAAAGGATCACTCCCCTGTCAGTAGACACATGCCAGTTTAACACCTTCAACTACTGAAAAGTTGATACAAGAAGGTTTAGGGGAGCCTTCAGATTCTTTCACAAGGAGGAAGTTTCCTTCATTTTTTAATTCCCTGTAAACTTTTGCCCAGAAAACCCGTGAGTGATCAGTTTTGTGTTCAGCCTAGGTCAGGGAGGAAACACATCTGCAGAGTACATTGCATTATGTATCACACCATATGATACTTAAAGGAAGTGTCAACCTTTACTGCAGGGGACTTGCTGTGTAAAATAGCCAACATCAATCAGGAAAGTACTGCTTTAGCTGCAAGTCCATCTTTATGGCAAGTATTAAAAAAATAATTTAATTTTTTTTTTTTTTTCCGGGGTAGGTACCACTTTGATCTATGAATATTTGTATCAAGTGTATGAATCAAGGCAGTGAATCACAGCAGATGAATGGACTTTTACACTGCTTCTGAAGCACACAAGCTGATGTACAGGCCTGGCATTTTAGAAATATGTCGATTCACTCTTTATGGATTCCAGTGTGTTTAATAATACTTGTGCTTAAAAGAAGAAGGCTTTATACAAAAGCCAGATCACTTGTCATGAGCATGAGAATCCACTCTGCTTTTCCACAACATGGATGAAGAATATTGGTATTTTTAAGGCTATTAACATAGCGTTAAGAGAGCTGTCTCTGGAGACCAAAGCCAACCTGGATACTGGGGAGTGGCTTGGTTGTTTGCCTTGAAGCCAACCTTTAAATCTGAAGGTCATAGCCTTAGCTCCCCTGGTCTTTGCTGGCATAAGATAATGGAAGTCTATTTTTGAAACCAATCCCAGGAGAAGTGAATTGAAAAAATAAAATGTGATCAATAAAAGTGTGAAGGAGCATGACACGTGGAGCAGATTTTCACCTTCTCCAGTAGTAACAAGTATAGAAGGACCTGAGCATACATATAAATGTCTTCATCATCAGAAGTTCTTTGGATTTTGTGTGTCTGTGTAAATTATTTAAAATTGGTCCAGTTTTATCCAACGTCCTGAGAAAAATCTGTCCAGAGGAACCGATGAAATATATATGTTATATTCATCCCAAAGACACAAATAGCAGTGAAAAATATCTATTTCGTTTGACCACCTGAACGTCAACTCATGTAGAAAACCCCTCCTCTTGTAAATTAGAGGAGGGAAAGTTGTTTTTTTTTACTGAAAACTCTGTCACCCTCTCAGCCCCTTAAGAGGGCTCCATATGCCCAGCTGCTCCCTCTGTGCTGCCCTCTCAGCTAAATGGCACTTTACTGATTTACACGGGCAAATGCAGTCACAGGAGGACCCGCTTTGGAGGCTTTGGTCACAAACTGCATCCAAAGTTTCCTTCAGATATGCTCTATCCACTCAATTCCAGCAGAGAATTTGTTATGTTTATAAAGCGAGAGCCACGTGGATAAAACTGCAGTTCACACATTTGCAATGGTCTCTCTTTAAGCCTGTCTGAAGTCTTGATTCTATAAACCTTTATCCACCTAATTTGTCTTCACTCTGGATAGTGGTCCTACTATGTAATGGGGGCTCTTCAAAAAAACTTGATTGCATTAAATGACAATGCCCAATTGCTTCAGCAGCACCTGGCTTTCTTGGATCCGGATGTGACTTCTGTGGCTGGTGTCTAATTTACCAGGACTCTTCACCATCCAATGTGTATTGGAAGATGTTTTATGGGTTTCACACATAAAATTATTGACCAAACGCAGTTGAAGCTCAGCTGAGAAGAAAACAGAGGATGTGGATTGTAGGCTTTTCACAGGAGAGTGATTATCTGGTCCAGTTGGAGGATTTGCCATTCCCCTTTTGTCACGCAAACAAGAAAAAGTCGGGAATTTTATAATAGCTCTTTCTGTGTAATGTATATTAGAACATGCATGGCACCTTCAAAATGTCAAACAGAGGATTTAAAGAGGCTGCAAGGGATGAAGTATGAGCAACTCACAGTTTTGATAAAAGCCAGGACTTTATGAAGAGAAAATATTTATATTTAAGCTTTTAATGTATTTACGACCAGTTTTCAGAGATATTTGCTGGGCCTGTCTAGGCAATGATTTTTGGTAAATAAATCAATGAGTTTAAAGAGAAAGTGTGGACGGCTTAGCCTAATTATGTTGCTATTATCCTGGGAAACAAGAATGTTCCAAATGTATTTGCAATGCGTCTGCGAGGATCAAAATATTTATTTTTTCAAGATTTGAATTTCTATGGACATATTTTGTATTACAATTGGACCCCTATTGAAACACCCTTTGCTTAAGGGATATGAAAGGCAGCGATTTTGGTGTGCTCCAAGGAATGCTCTGATTTATGCAACAGACATTAGATTATATAGATTATATAGAGATGGGAGGACATATCTATGTTGATTTTGATCTGTTTCCCCCAAAGTTAGAGTCTTTTGAATCTAGGAATGTCAAAATAAAAATGATAGTTGTTAGGAAGCAGATATAAACTTGTCAAGTCAAAGAAGAATTCAAGTAGAGGTTCTTTTTCTTACTCTTTTTCTTAGGTGCTAAGCACACTGAGTTTTACATAACTAAAACTCAAAACAAACAACAAAAAACACCAAAAACCAAAATAGAATAGGCTGATCACATTAAGTGTTGGCTTAGAGGTTTCAAAAGTGAAAATAAACTGCAGGAGGAGCATGAAGGGATACCCTTCTCATGTTGTTTCACCAGCATCCCCCCACCAGCCAGCAGCCAGCACTTCTGATTTAATAATCCCAACATTTTAAACCCAGGCTATACACCTTCATCTGGGATTTCACAGGCATCTTTGGCTTAATTCTTGACTGGCACAGTCCATGCTGGTGGTGGGACCCCTGCTCTTCTGCAGGGATCAACCTTGTGTCAAACAAGTCCCTACAGCAAGAATGGAGCGCACTGAGGCAACCCCCACCTCCATTTCACTCCATCTGGGTTTAAACTGAATTTCTAAATAGTGACTGAGGGAAAAAGCATTTCTATTTCCCACCACTCAATCTTCACAGCACCTTCAGCACAGGAGGAGAGAGAGGTGTCACCAGCATCAGGCCAGGGGTGCCACACAGCCCAAAACTCACACCCCCCCCCATCACCAGAGAAGCAGCCTTTTATGTTGATGTTGCCTCTCTGCAAGGAGAGAAGGCAATGTATTCCTCACTCCATCCACCTTGTGCCACTGAGGAAAGGTGCAAAAAAAAAAAAAAAGAAGTGGTAAGTCCTTGATAAGTCTCCCTTATTCCACAGAGGCAAGACTGTTGAGCAAGTAAGCAGGCCACAGGGTTACTATTGCCTCTGTTTGCCACTTTAGCCCCAAACGCTACCAGTCACAATGCTCTGATTGGTCCTTGAAAATTGTTTATGCCTGCTGAAAGAAACTGGGAAAGCATCTTATCAGTGGTGAGTTTCCATCTTCCTCTATCTCCAGAGACAGCTACTCTGTCATTAGGGCATGAGTAGCTTGCTCGGTGTACGGCATCAGAATAACAGCACCCAGGGCTCCTGCAGGGCCGGTCTAGCTCACTGGGGTTTGTATGTGCTCCCCACAGCCTCAGCCTGCTCAGCAGG